ACAGGTATGTCTCTATCTCTGTTATCTGTCTCTATCTCTGTTATCTCTGTCCCCCGTCTCTGGCAGGAGGGGGGATCTTCGGGGCGGCACATCTGCGGTCTTTCTCTGAACTGGAAAACACAGATGACCGCAATTGAAAACACCTTGTTTTTTTTGTTGTTGTTTTTTTTTTAATCGATACATGTTAATCCATTGAAGAGTATAGTTTTCCTGCGTGTGAATCCGCGGTGTTTGCAGAGTGTAGTTTTCTTGCATCTGTTTTAAGTTTGAGATGACGTTGCCCTTATCGTAAGTAAGATTCGCTGGCTCCTCTTTAACGTAATACATTAGGTTGCTGAATTGAATGATTTAGGGGAAGGTATGCTAATGACATATTTCAAGATATGCTCTGCGAATATGCTTAGTTTTCGGTTTGGAAATGACAGCGCTTTGTGGTTAAACTTCAAGAATTGTAAAAGGTATAATGCTCCCAAAGCGTTCTTGCTATTTTTACTGTATTCAGTGCGTACTTAGTTGTTGTTTCAGAAAGAAGAGAAGTAGTTGGTAGGAGAAATACATTGTTGGTGCTGGAGCTGAACTGTTTAGTAACAGCATATTGAAACTGGTGTGACTTCAACAGGGCTTCTACCTTAAATACATATTTGTTGGTGCTGGAGCTGAACTGTTTAGAACAACATATTGAAACTGGTGTGACTTCAGCAGGGCTTCTACCTTAAATACATACGTATCCTTGATAATGTTTTGTTTTGTTTTCCCTCTCCATCCCTTGTTGGTCTATATGTCTTCGTTTCCTCTCCTTAGGTGACTTTAATGAATTCTGGTCCTCTCTGGCAGTAGCACAGTTGGCCTATGTATTGCTGAGGTATTATCTGGAGAACTGTGGTCTTAGATCCCTAATTTGCTCAAGTTTTTTTTCAATCAGAAAGAATAATGGAGTATGCCAAGGCTTTAATGTCTTTGAATAGGTTGCTTGTCTATCATATCTTTTTGTACCTCACCGGTAAGCTAAACCAGAATAAGTTTAGGCAGCTTGGCATGTTAATTACCCCATTTTCTTTTGTCCTGCTCATGTTTTTTCAGCATTTCTGAAAATCAGGTAGTTCCTCCCGACCTGTTCTTATATAACCAGGACCACCTAAGAGTGCACTCCCAGTGAATTTAAATTGGTGTGCAGCACTGACTGCAGTCCTCTAGAGTTCCCTGAGATTTCACTAATTTATTTCTCTGACCTGACAACAGCACAATGCTGAATTACTAACCGCGCTTAGCCACTGTCAGAACATCCGTCCTTTCTGAGCTGTGCAAGTTGAAGGACTAAAACCACTTCCTGTTTGTCACATACTGTTGCTGCCTTCCGCCCCTGTCCCCTTAGAAGGAGCTGTCTGGGACTGGAGATCATTGATTCTGAGTAGTCAGGCAGCACTGGTATTTTGGGGAGACTGTGGCCCCACATCCCTTCCTCTAGAGAAGGGGCGGGTGAATAGCCGTGTTAGTAGTTTACCATGTCGTGGTAGTTTACTACAATTGTTTCTTCAAGACGTGTAGGAAGATCATGGGATCAATCTGTAGTGAGGTGGTTTCTGGACTCTTGCAGTTGCAAATGGTGCTTCTGCCAGGCTTGTGACGTGAAATGCCACTGTTACTTTAGGGTTTGTGTGAAGCATGGGGACTTGCTGCTCCGTCAGCTGCAGTCTCTTACCTACGTGAAAAGTCAATCCACTGCAGTGTCGAGCTTTGTGCCTTGAGGGATTCAATGTGCATCATCTGCTGAGGTTCATCCAAGCTCCCTTTGTTGCAATATGGGAAATATGTCCCAGTTTGAAGAGGTTTGGGTTTTAGTGGTAAGAAAGAGGCGATTACCTTTTTCTATCCTTATAATAGACAACACAGATTAGGTGCAGTTCAGAAATACTGTTCCCCTTGAAGAACTTAGGTAGTCTGTGCCGCTGTTCATTGTGTGGTGTACTTGCAGCAGCAACAAATCTTTAATGTACAACTTGATTATTTATGTTTGTAATACTCCAAAGTGCCTGTCAGCCTCACAGCAATATTGGAAGACAAGCTAGCTACCCAGAAGATGTAGCAGTCTAAAATTGGGTATGATGTAAATGAGGTTGACAATAGCAGCAGGAGGAGTAAGGCAAGGAAGAAAGTTAAAGTTTGTGCTGTGCCTTACTTCTGACATTATAAACGTCTTGGATTTATCCTGTAGGATTTTCCCTTGCCCCCTGCTTGTGAGGGAGATTTGCGAAGGCATTTAAATGAAAGTGATAGCCTGACTAATGAGTCTTGTGAGTACTTGGGTCCTGTGATGGCATCTGTGAAAGTAAGCATTTGTTTTGCTCTCTCTTTTCTGAAGCTAAGGGCAAAATGCTCCCCTGTTGCTGCGTGTCACAATCCAGCTGATCGCAACTCAGCTGCAGGCATCATCTTTACCCGGGTGTGAACAGCTGGGATCCTTCTGTGTTTGTAGCATCAAATTGGTTTTATGACTTTTTGAAATGGCATTCCCGTTTCTTTGCGGGGGCGGGGGGAGGTATGTTTTAGTAAGGAAGCCACGAGCTATATTAGCCTTCGTTCTGAAGCCTCATTCTTGCAAGGATACGCTTTCAAGTACCCAACCCACCTCTTAGGTGTGCCTGGTTGTAGCACACTGTATTTCTCTTCCATTGCCAGTTGTATCCTGATGAGAAGTTAAGACATACATGTTCAGGAAAAGTAAGAGTTCTGACACGATAATCTTTTTTAACCAAGGAGTCAAGCCATGCCAGCCTAAAAACTGTTTTGAAATGATTGAGCTTTTTCTCTCTCAGACTGGAGCTCAATCTCATCTTTTCTTTTGAAGCTTCTGAACCCATGCCAGAAGTGATCAAAATGAATAACTAGTTGAAAAATATAATCCGCTAGCCAGAGCCTGAGCAGCAGAACTGTTTCCATTTGCCAGGCTCCACAGGACAGCCTCAGGTCACTGTAGCTTCACCTTCTCCCCCTGCTCCACGTGCAAGGCTGGGCTATTCTGCAGACCTTGGAGCAGGTAGAGGCTTTCCTCTGTTTGAGGGTGAGCACTTGGTGGGAGAGGCCGCAACCGAATCTCTGACTCTCTTCTAAGTTGAACCGTGGTGGCATGGCCATCACCCAAAGCTTTGCCCAGGTTAGCCGATAGGCCTTGATTTCATGCTCTGGGAGGAAAAAAATAGGCATAAGATTAAAAACTTGAATTTTGACACCATGATAGAGATATTGTGCTTTAATACCAGCTAAACTATGCTTTTGCCAAAAACAAAGACTCCAGACGATGAAAAAGTCACTGCAGTAAAATTAGATCAGTATATAGCTATGACGGGAGATGTGAAGTTCTCACCTGACTTTCAATGTCTGTGGTACTCGTCCCTATTTGAGCTAGACATCTTCCAGGCTCCCTTTAGAGTGGGTAGAGTATGCTGGTTGGCTTTAAGGTGTGATTCATCTGACCTATTTTAGATACCTGCTTGGCACCCTCAGCTCCGCTCCCCGTAAGAGCAGCAAGCTCAGAGGTGGACGAGTGTGTTTGGTCAGATGAGTCCTGTTCGTAGTGAACACTGAGGACAAATGCATAAATAAGTAAATGTGGCTACTTTCTGCTCTGTTTTTTATCCTTGGGAGTGGATTTAGCAGAGACCCCAGGGGAATGGCCAACCTTATTAACACCACTCAATACAGGGAGCACCTTCCCGGTCAGGTGTCGCGACAGCATCCAGGCATCGTTTTCTCCCGTTTTGTATCAGAGCCAGGTCTGATCCTCCCATACCTCTCGCTGTTAATTGGGTACGTGCACATTCAGACGCATTCAAACGTTACCTGATTTCCTGTTCTATAATACAAAAGCTTTGTCCAGTGGGTGCAATGTTCAGAGGTGATGTTAATATTAAATATTTGATCATAAAACACTGATGATAGGTTCTCAAGTATTTCTGGATTCCTGCTCTCATTTTTCTCCTAAGGAAAAATGAGAATAGTGTCATAATTTTACACCAAGGATTTTCTTGTTTTAGCCTTAGAAATGTGGAAAAACGTTAATCAATATTTGCTTGGATTTTTTTTTTCACTTTTTCAAAAAGATTTCTTTAGCGGCCTTTGAAAAATCACAACTATACCTAAAGGCAGATCTGGTTTGAAGAAAGCCCTAAAACAGCTTGCTAAGGTCCCTTGTGTTATCATAACTACACATTTATCTTGTTTATTATTACTTGTAAAAAGCAACAAGGGGAAGATTGATCAGCTCTAAAGGTTTGGGTATTTTCATGGTGTTTCATCACTAACAGTAATAGACTCTGCAGGCTGAATGAGGCTTTCGCTCCTCGGTAAGGCTTGCCTTCGTTTGAGCTATGTCAATATAATAAAGGACAGAATTTTCTCCTATAGTCAAATCTGAGCTTTTAGTTCAGTTGCTGGTGTCTTTAGCAGAACCGAATCCAGCTGTGCCGTGTCCCCTTGGCAAGTGTCATACTAGTCAACTTATTTTTGTCTTTAAGTAACAAGACTCCTGCAGCTTAAGTAGCTGGTGCTGTTTCAGAAACGTATTCCATTTTAGGGTTTTGCTAAGCAAAGTATGTTTGCAGGCAGGCAGGCAGGACCATTTATTTTTATTATTATTTTTTTTAATAACAGATTGTTGGCTTTCCTTCCACTCCCGCACAAGTACTGGAGGCTGCTCTTGAGAGCAGTGAGGTCAAGTCTGAATGATTTTTCTTCAAAGCATCTTTCAAATCTTTTGATTTATCAGTGGGATAAGGAAACGAGGACAGGCTGCTGGTGTCGTTACTTGGAGGCTTTTCACTTCCAAATCACTTATTAGGGAAAAATATATGTATTCTTTTCTTCTCCCTGCTGTACCTCCTGATATTTTCACCTCTGTGAATTGCAGTGGGCAAGAAATAAAACTGTTGTAGATACTTTTATAAAGAAAATAGATATTTGAAAGAATTGTTTGATTTTTTTTTTTTTTTTTCCCCCATGGAAAAGGATTTTGCTTTCAGTTGTAGTTTATGCTCTATTAACCTTGGGGGGGGGGAATGATAGCTGTAAAAATGTGGCCTAGTGACCTCCTAAAACATCTTGTGATTCTCACTGATATGAGAGTTGTTTCCCACTGGTCTTTGATTTTAAATGCTTCTGACTGTTTCTTTTGTCCCTCATAAACTAGCTACTGCAAGCGTACACGTTTCCAGTGCACGTAGTAATTCATACCTGCTGACCCCCGAAGGATAATCACGCTTCTCCCTATGCAAGATTGGGTTTTACATCTTTCTTTAAAATGATTTCCTTCCTTTCAGAGAAGGAAATGAGCTCTTCGGACAGGCACTTAGTAAATCCAACTTGAAAACTTGAGGAGCAGGAGATGCTGATACTAGCCAAGTTCAGAATTGCTTCTAATGACATCTGAAATTCGAACTCAAGTCACTTAACAAATAACTGCTTGAAATAACAGACCACTTAAAATAGCCAAGGCTCAAACTTACAAATCCACCTGTGGCTAAAAGAAGTTTAGTGTTACTAAAGAATAATGTCGTTCAGAGGAAGAATATCCCCTTTAACCGCCTGACTACTTGTATCTGGAATTCATTGCTTATGAAGGACCCACTTCCCTGAGGACCGGCCTGAGGAAAATCTGAATGTGGAAGAGCTACAGGGTGGTTTTGGTTCCTTCCGGAAGGATGACTGAAACTTCTCTTTGTTCCGTGTTTGTGCCATTATGCTTCTGCCTGGATTGTTAAGGCTGCTTCTGTCGGCAGCTCCTAATGAGTCTGTCTGTAGCGGCTTCGCTGAGAAGCGTGAATACATCCAAAGGGGAGGATTAAGTCATAACTGATGCTTTCTGTGGCAGACAGCAGCATCTGCAAACACTGCATCAAAATGAGAATAAAACTGATGTAAGAAGTCTCTTTAGCAATGGAGTACGTGATTTTTAAATGCAATCTAACTGTATCATAGGCATTGGATTCCCTTAACCTTTGGTCAGTTTTTCATATACCGAAGCTATTCCGTAGGTATTTTTCCGAGTTGCCTCATATCTTTGTGTTCAGTCCAGGAACAAGGGTATTGATGAAATGCCAAATTCTTTGGAGGCCCTTAACTCTTTCTGGTTTATGTTGCAGTGGAAGATTGATGACAAGCCAGTAAAAATTGACAAATGGGATGGCTCAGCTGTGAAAAACTCTTTGGATGATTCTGCCAAAAAGGTACCTTCTGCGATTATCAACTGCTCTCACTTGGAAAACATTTAAGCCTTTGTGCATGAAACTCTTAAGGAAGCCCATGCGAAATTGCACAGAGACGGCCAGGATTAGCTTGCTACTGCGTGTTTCCTTGCGTCATCATGGGTTACCCAGTAGTTCCTTTGCTTTCTTAGACCCTTGCAGGATTGTTTCAGTGAATTGTTTTGCGTTAGTAAAATGGGGCTCTTTAGCCCTTATGCTAATCCTTTATGCCCAAGTAAATTCTTAGGGTTTTATATTTAGCTAAACCTTTAAAAATCTGTTTTGTATGTGAAGTGCCAGTGTCCTTGCCAGTTCTGCAGAGTGTTTTGTAATTCCCCTGGATCTGAGCTGGCTAAAGCAGCATTGGAGCTTAGAATAACAGCAACTATTACAATGTCTGCTGCAGACATCAATTATGTATAAAGCTGCTGTTTGCGTTACCTGTATAATCTAGATTGTTTTGTCTAAATCCTTTACAGAAGCAATTTGTAAAATGTATAAAAGCGCAAAATAAGCTCAACTGCCTGTTTCTTCCTCAGGTTCTCCTGGAGAAGTACAAGTATGTGGAAAATTTCCGTTTGATTGATGGCCGTCTCATCATCTGCACAATCTCTTGTCTCTTTGCAATTGTAGCTTTGATTTGGGATTACCTGCACCCCTTTCCTGAATCCAAACCTGTTCTTGCCTTTTGTGTTGTATCATATCCTTTACGTGTGTACGTTCTTTATATAACAGCCAAATCCATGCCCATCTGGGTGATTTATCTGACAGCAAAACATCAAAGTCTGGGTTAACTGCATGCAGTAGGTGACTTCTTGGACCTCGGACATCAAGAGCACATAGAGACACCTGAGTTCTGATGTGTTAATCTCGAACTGAAAATCAGCCCTCAAAAATTTAGAGGGTTTTTTGGTTTTTGTTTGAATTATAGTGAAATTCCTTCTGTAGTCAGGTTACAGTGACATCTGCTCTTTCCGAATACAATAGACCAAGTACCAAGAGTGAAAAAGTGAAGTGGGAGTAATTCTTGCCAGCACTACCCTCAAAGAGGAACAGATGCTGAGTTTAGGAAGGCAGCACTACAAATCAGCTTGTAAATGATTGTGAGTTTACACCGAAATACCAAGAAGTATTCGTAGTTAAGTGTTTGTTATGATGGCACAGCTATTTTTTTCTGTTTGGGCTCGCAGGGTTGGCATGCCACTGATTTGTTTGCATCTACTCTAGCAAGACAGATGTCTGTAGAGGTTTTGCGACATAACTGTATGTGACGGATCAGCAGTGCTCTCCAGGAACTGCAGGCAGGCCCGCTTTCAAGGGCGCTCTCAGAGAGGCAGCGTGAACTAGTAGCCTGGAAGCTCCCTGCAGACCAGGGGGTCACTGGCTGTATGTACACTAACTGGCTGGTTTGGGGTTTGTTTTTTTTTTGCCTTTTTTTTTTTTTTTTGTAAAGGCTACAGGTTTTCTCTGTTTGGCTTTCAGCATGGAAGTTGGGGTGATTCATCTTGCAGCACGTAGAATGATGTAATTCAAAAAATGAGAAAAACTAATTGCTTGCTCTGTGCTTAGTAGAAGTGCACAGTAATTAATTGTGTGACTCATTTAGCCTCACACTTTCCAGCTATCTCGTACAGATGTTGCCCCCCAAAAATGAGTGGAGTAAGTGCAAACAGTATTTCACTGTTGTGATTTCTGCTTTACTTAATGATTTTCTGTAGCTTTTTTTATGTAGCTGTTTCTTGAATGGAATTTCTGAAAGCGTCTAGGGTGTTGTCACTTTCCTTGTTATTTTTCAGGCATTGCTTAGCGGTCTGGTACGACCGCAGAGCTTTAGAAGTGTCACACACTTTCAGTTTAGCTGTTCATGCTAATGAGACATCAGTCCAGCACTCCGCTTGGAATGATAAAAGGTGGCTAAAATGACAAGAGATCCAAGTAATTTCTTGGCACACCTTCAAATTACTGCGTGTACAATTTCTGTTCCCTTAACTTCCTTAACTTCTTGAACGTATTTTGTGATGATGGGAATCCTGACCATTTATACCTCATACAAAGAAAAGAGCATTTTTCTCGTGGCTCACAGAAAAGATCCCGCGGGGATGGACCCGGATGACGTCTGGCAGTTGTCCTCCAGTCTCAAACGGTATTGTTGCCGCTAGAGCCAGGCTCATGGAGAGGGAAGCACGGTCATGCGGTACCTCCAGCCTCGAATTATCTGTTCGCTGTGGTTACCATGTGCTCCGCGGTGGGGCAGAAAAGCTGTTTGACTTGCGCAAGCCATCCCTACATGTGGGATAACTGATGCAGAACAACCCGGGGGGGAGAAAATACTGATATTTCTGCAATAGGGACCCGAGCTTTTGGCAGAGAATCAGCTGCTGCGTGTCTCATGCACTCTGCTCCCTGCGCAACCTGTGATTAATATTCACCGCAGCATGTTGCTCAGAAGTAAGGGTGGTCTGAGGCCATCTGGCTGAGCATGTGCCGGTCTCATGAGTGAAATTTCCATCAGTATCTCTGGGATCATCCTAGAAGTTTTCTCTATTTCTTCATGCCTATCAATCTGTTTCACTCTAGCACAGTGGAGTCCCAAGCTAAAAATGGAATAGGGGTGAGGAGTTGGTTCAACTATTGCTTCTTTTTAAACGGGAGGAGAAAAATTAATCTCTTATAAAGAGTTATTATAAGCGTTTTAACTGTGTTAAAATTCATACAGTACAGTGGGGTGTTGTGTGTCGGGACTTCCTCCTCTGGGGATTTCTGCCCATAGCGAAGACGAGGGTTGCTCAGTTGGGTTCTCCTGGTGCAAACTGAACGTGGCTTGTTGATTCCCAGCAGCTTTTCGGTGACACCTCAGCTGTGCCAAATCCTAACAAGTTTTGCTATGAACTTGCTTTGCTCTTCCTTCAGGTTCGATGACAAATACACCTTGAAGCTAACTTTCATCAGCGGAAAAACCAAACAGCAGAGGGAGGCCGAGTTCACCAAATCCATTGCTAAATTCTTTGATAACAATGGAACGTTAGTCATGGAGGCCTATGAACCAGAGGTCTCCAAGCTGCATGATAGTTTGGCCCTGGAGAGGAAAACGAAATGATTTCGGACATGACTTTCATCCTGGGATCATGCTAAATTAATGCCAATAAAGTAAAATAGCAAAGAAAGTTAATTGCCTCTGTTTTTGTCCTGAAATCCTATTTGATTTCTGGAGGAGCAGGATTTGTAATCTTGGAGCTGAGATTTCTGAAGCTCGTGTCTAAGCTGCAGTAAGCCTTGGTCTGTGTGCCTGCCTCTGTGCTTCTGTCACCTCCGGCATGGATCTTGGAGGATGACTTACACGTTGGGGACCTTCAGGAGGGAGACTGTCGCTCCATGCCCTGTTGGCTTCCTCCCTTTCACCTGGCAGCGCTTTGTAAAACCTTTTGTGCCATGTAGCATCTGGGACCGTTTTACCGTTCTCCTTCCACTAACTTCATGTTACCTTTTCCTTAGTGAATGTTTGTGTTAGGAATTCAGGACAAAATCCTAAAACAACTGTCCGTTTGCAAACGAGTTGTCTTTATTTTTATATTTATCTAATGGGGGGGAGGGGGAAGGCATGGGGCTTGTTTTTATATTAAAAAATTAAAAGCCTTTTATCTGTTTGGGGGTGGGAAGAGAAGGCAAATCTGCTACTTCTGTACGCTAGGGCACGACGCTTCTCTACGCGGCGAAAAATAAAAGCCATGGTGTTTCTTTGGAGCTGTGCCTCTCGCCTTTGTCCGGCCGGCGTCTTGCAGTGCTCGTGTTCGTGCATCTTTTACCTAAAACGGCCTTTTCT